CTTGGGTGTAACCCGTCAGGGCCTGGCGCCTTTGTAATGTCCAATGCCCCGAGGAGCCCCTCGACTTCAAGGGGGGTGACTCTAATCTGTGCCCCTAAGTCCCCAGCCTCATCTAATCTCCTATGTGGATCTCCCCCGTCCTGCTTTGGGGAGAACACAGAGGCAAAACAGTCATTTAGCATCTGTGCCTGTTCCATCATATCAGTCACTGGATCTCCTTCCTCCTTATTTAGTGGTCCCACCCCTTGTCTCCCCTTCCTCTTCCTATTTACATGCTGAAAGAGGCCCTTTTTGTTGCTCTTGATATTCTTGGCAAGTCTCAGCTCATAATCAGTCTTAGCCTTGCGAAGAATCCTTCTGCAATGGGCCTCCTCCCCCCGGTATACCCTTTTGTCTATTTGCCCCAGTACCCATTTCCTATGGAGGTTCCTCTTGCGTCTAATCCCTCTAACCACCTCCTTTCGCATCCATGGCGGCACTCTCCTCCGCCTCCCCACCTTACTGACTAGAGGTATCGTCAAGACTTGCGCCTCCAAAACCTCCCTTTTGAGTGCCATCCACCCCTCCTCAACTCGCTTGCCTTCCAGTAACCTGTCCCAGGAGACTTTCCCCAGTCTGGCCTTCAGATGGCCAAAGTTGGCGCTCTTGAAGTCCCAGCTTCTCGTGCTCGACCTGCTGCACGTCCCCAGTCCCCTGATCTCAAAGCAAAGGATGAAGTGATCACTCGCATCCAGAGCTCCTCTAATCTGTACTTCATCTATCAGCTCCTCCCTAATGGTCAAGACCAAGTCAAGGATGTTCCCCCCCCTCGTCGCCTCTCGGACACTCTGTGTGAAAAACGCTCCCTCTATAGCTTCTAGGAAGCAATGTGACCTGGCTGTCACCGCCAAGTGAGTCTCCCAAGTAATATCCGGGAGATTGAAATCTCCCATAATTACTGTGTCCCTCCCCCTAGATATCCTTAGAATCTGGCCTGTCAGGACATCATCCAGGGTCTCAAGTAGACCTGGAGGGCGATAACATACCCCCACTGTCAGGTCTCTTTCCCTGTCAAAACCCCTAAGTTTCACCCAGACTGCCTCTGCCGAATCCCCATCTGTGCTGCATTCTATCTCACTGCATCCTATCCCTTCCCTGACGTATGAAGTCACGTCCCCACCCCTCTTGCCCTTCCTGTCCTTTCTAAAAAGGTGATACCCCTCTATGTTCACATTCCAGTCTTGCCTTTCATCCCAACAGGTTTCCGTGATCCCCACCAGGTCAGACCCTCCCATTCCCAGGAGAGCTTCCAGCTCTTCCTGCTGGTTACCCTTGCTCCTAGCATTGGTGTACATGCACCCCAACTCCTTCCCACCACTCCCTTTCCTTGGAGTCCCCAGCCTCCTCCTGCCTCCCATCCTCCCTGATACCTGGTCCCTCTCTGTAGGAGTCCTGTCAGTCCCTGCAGTACCTCTAAGACCTGCTCCCAGAGCCTTGAACTTCCCCCCACACTTGTCCAGTGCAGACACGTTTCTGGGGGAGAAGGGTGGACATGTCGCAGCTGAAGTCCCCCCCCCCCCCCCACTCAGTTTAAAGTCTTCTGGACGAAGCTTGCTAGGGCATCTCCAGAGGACTTTTTCCCCATCCTCGTGAGGTGCAACCCGTCCCTTGCCAGATGTCCATTGGCAAGAAAACGAGTGCCGTGGTGGAGGAATCTGAAGCATTCCTTCTGGCACCGCATCCCGAGCCCCTTTTTCACCTCGGCAACCCTCCTGTCCCTGCCTGGCCCAAATCCCCGGACTGGTAAGATCAATGAGAAGGCCACTTGGGCCTTCAGCTCCCTGAGTTTCTTCCCCAAGGCCTCGAAGTCCCTGGTGGTCCCACCCACACCCTGCCTGGCCACGTCGTTTGTGCCCACATGGATCACCAGGAGTGGCTGGTGACCCCGGAGCGAACAAGGCGCTCCACTCTGTCCTTCACATGCCGGATGCGTGCGCCCGGCAGGCAGCAAACCTCCCTTGTCTCCAGGTCGGGGCGGCCTCAGTGCCCCTCAGCAGGGAGTCCCCAACAACAACCACCCACCGCTGTGTCTTCCTGGTAGTGGTGGGCAGCCGTGCCCTGGCCCTCGCCTCTCCTGCAGCGGCCCCCTTGCCGCCTGACGTCCCAGGCTGGGGGTCCTGCTGGTCCCCCAGGCCTCCTCAGCCCCAGCCTCCCCAAGCGGAGAGAACCTGCTCCCAGCTCCAGATTGGCGCCAGGGGAGGAGGAGGCCGTGCTGGGCTCCCCTCCTGCGGGTGACGTGCCTCCGTGCCTCCCCGGCTGCTCCTCCTGTGCCCCCGCAACCCTCTGTCCAGAGGGGGGCTGCTCCGGGGGGGCCTGGAGGGCTCTCTCGGCCCTCAGGCACCTCACCTCCTCCTCCAAGAGGGCCACCCGCGTGCAGTGAGGGCGAGTGTCTCCCTGCCTCTCCTGGGGGAGAAGGGCGGACATGCCGCAGCTCTCGCAGCAGCAGCAGCACTGGGACTCCCGCCCAGGCCGTCTCCTGATCTGCCATCGGTATCCCTTCCGAAACCTGACCTTGGTCCCCTGCCTTGTCTGTCCTGCAGTTCCTCTCATTCGCCCAGTTCCCCCAGATGAAAACCCACTCGCACACACACACAAGGATAAAATAAACTTAAATTGGGAGAAAAACAAAGCACAGCACAAACAAAACAAAGAAACAATCAAACCTCTGTGGCTCAGGGAAGGGAGTCTCCAGACAGCCCGGGCTGCAGCCAAGGGACCCAGACAAGGGATGATGCCCCGCCCC